GAGAAAAAAAATTAGGAAAAGAGATGATACGAAAGTAGTAAATGATTTCTACATTTATTGTTCACTACTTTCACTGTATTTCGTAATGACTGACGAAATGAGAGCCAAAATAAGTTAATTACTGAACCGATAAGGATATCAGTTCACAGACTAATGTCAATTGAATCAGTAGTTCTCCGCCAACACTTCTCTCTCTCTCTCTCTCTCTCTCTCTCTCTCATCTTTATATTTAAATTACCCTGTGTTTACCCATATCATTCACTATTATAAATTGTAGTACTCTTTATAACCAATATAATTTACTACAATCCAAAAAAGTTTTTATACTTTACATTTAAATAATCACACAATCAAATAACTTTGATGAATGTATTATACAATTAGAAATTAATCTTATTTGGGATGTGGTTTCTAGAGGACAGGTTCCAACACATCGGACTCGTCCAACAGTTCTAATGTGAAGCGATCGGCGAGTTATCGCATAGCGTTGCGTAAATCCGCGCCACCGCTCAACAAGTCTGCGCCCAATGCGGCCGACGACTCGTCGGACAGCGATGTCGGCGATCCTAACACAAGCCCCACCACAACCACACCCAACACTACAATCACAGCCACTGCCACACCATTGACTTCAACGCCATCGCCGGCAGCTAACGATACCACTCCGGGCACTAATGGTACGGTTGTTGTCACGAGTCAACCCCAAGTATATCCCAAGTTAGACGAGTCGGCCGTTAATAACGCCGACAATACCGGTGCCGCCGATGAGACCAAACAACGGCCAGAGCTCGAGCCGATGCTCAACGCGAAGAAACTGGAGGCCGAGGGTAATGGCGGTGACAATGGAGGGCCTGAACCGGGCGCTGACCGGAAGGCTAGTCATTACGATGAAGAGGGGAATCGGTGCACGAAATGGTGGTGCGAGAAGTGTTGCTGCAATTACTGCCAGTGCTGTCCCGACCCCTGTGTCCAGTGTATGGTTCAGTGGAAGGACGGGTGCGATGGGACGGGCAACTGGTTCCGCAACTGTTTCCGATAATTTATACTGTTATTTATTTTTGTGGTATTTTTAGCTATAATTTTTGGCTATTTTATGTGTTTTCAGATATGAATGAGTAAAAGCAATAGATTTACTAACTTTAACCATAAGCTAATTTATATAAAGTGTATTGAATTTAAACACTGAATGATACATGAATAGAAATATGGCAATAGCTAGTGAGCCGATGGCTTTCTCACTCATATTATGTGCTTTTTATATTTTTAACCGCATTTGATAATAAAATACTAGTGAATATATTTAAGCTAACATTAATATCTACCTGTCTGTAGGTATAACTGTGTTAGTGTACAATGAAATCAATTATGATAAAAACTGATTTATGTAATTCACATTGATCCAGATAAATGTAATGCTTTTTTATTATCGAACCTAATACCACTTTGATAATTGTTCAATATATGATTTGCCCCATTTTTATATATTTTATAAGCATTTGAATTTTATATAATTTATAAAATATATTAAATATAATATATATAATATCGTTTTTATAAGTTTTTCATTCAATAAAAATATTATTACTAAATACAACTTTTAAAATGAATATTGATTAAATTAGAAAAAATTAATAATGGTAAGAAAAAACTATTAATATTTTATACTGCATTTATTTAATGAACGAGATAAATAAATTCTAATCTCGTGGTTACAGTAATTTATGCTGTATTCTACTCAACAAATAAAATAGTATATTCTTCTCACCTGCTATCTACTAAATGTTAAACAAATTAGTTATTAACTTTAGATTTATATGGTGAACTTACAGATTTACAAGTTTATGTCTTTTAACTTACAATTTACAAATAATTTAACTTAACTAAATTAACTAATGTTTCCATTTTTTAAATTAATTTAATATTAGCATATAACTGTTTATTGAGAATGTTTACAATACTGCACAAGTTTTCAATTTGAAAAATGTTATCAAGTATAATGCTTTAATGAAATTATTTTATTATAATTTATTTAGTGCTATAAATAAATACAGAAAACTAATTTGCGTTTTGCATATATTTACTATTGTTATATTATTTTGTTAACATGGCAAAATTATTCATCAGTAAACGGGGCGGGTGTTGGTGGGGGCAGATTATCAATAATCTCCTGAATGAACTTGCTCATTCTGGCGTAGGCTTTAGTGGCCCATGTGATAATCTCGTGACGTTTGGCAGGGTCAGTTTCATTTTTCAATTTGTCCTGGGTCTCTTTCTGTGAATCAATTGATTTCATATAGATTAATTTATTAAACGTAATATAAATATAAGAAGCATTTAGTTCATTTAATAAATTTTATATAGACTTAATTTTGTAGCGTATTTAACTAAAATATACAGTAATAGCCTGTCAATCACATAAAGCTTTATATAAGTTTAAAAATATAATTGACAGCATTTAACATATTCAAAAACAATTATACCTCCAGGGTGTCCACCCCTTTGCCCAAGATACCGCAAAAGTTGGTGATGTAATCGCTCTTCATGATATCGGTGATGGCTTTAAGGTCTTGCTTACCTTTAAGCAAGGCAGCATGCTCTCTTTTCAAGTCATCAGGCTCATCACAGCGGCCTTTACGATAAGTTAGGTTAGAATTAATTAACAAAACATTGTATGTCAAATACAGTGAGGCACATATATTGAGCAACAAATAGCCAAACACATAGTATAAAAATGAATACTTGTATTCGAGTACACTGTATGCTGTTATAGTGTACGCTAATATATTACAACATCGGGCTGGATTAGGCCTGTACTTCATTAGCTGTAGTTCAGTATAAAATATATGATCAAATAGTTAACTCGATAACTAACCATATTTCAAATGATTTGGTGATTATGAAACAAGTTTAATATTTGCCAGATTTTCCTTAAGTTAAACCCAAAATCATATAATAAAGCCTATCTAATTATGGTAATCTTTTGAATAGGTAAAATTACTTTAAAATAAAAATATAATGGAAATATTTAACTTTAAGCTTACGCTACTGACAAGTATTTAATTAATTTTATATTAATAATTCACATTACAAATGATTTTACATAGATGTAATATACATAAAACATACACATAAAGTAAAATACTTAAATAAATTTCACAATATAACAAATAATAAAATATATTTATTACCAAATAATGTAACCGATGCTAAGAAGACCGCAATTAAAACAAATTTGTGCATTTTGGTGTTGAGGCTACTACAGTAATTAATAACTACGCTATTAATCTATTAATGCGTTTAATTAAATAACAAATGTAAGAACTTAGTACATGTGAAATAAATTGTACTGGACTAATTTGTAATTGCTTGGCAATTATATTCAATAGAAGAGCACTTATAGTTTAAGTGATTGGTGTTATATTTATAAGCAAAATTTATTATAGTGTTTAATTACCCATTATCTTAAATTTTAAGCCCTGATTTCTTTGTAAAATATTGATATATTAATTGTAATTGATTACTTGGCATTTAATTTAGCTTTATACTTACTTGTTAAAAATACTATTATGCGATCAATAAGTAAAATAATTATAACATTAGTATAATAGTTAATGCATTAGTATATTCAAATGATAATAGATTATTATTAATAGTTATAAATTAATTAGTTGGTTGAATCTATTATTTTTTAAAATTTTTATGATTGTAAATAATACAAAATATTATTAGCTCTCTCTCTCTCTCTCTCTCTCTCTCTCTCTCTCTCTCTCTCATTAATTAAAA